ATTAAACAATACACAGACATAGCAACAATGATAGTCTGTTTTGTTTGCATGGAAGATTTCCAAGCAACCACAAACTCGTGCATATGAGCCACTGGAAGCAAAAATTGTACCATGGCCATGATATATATATATATATATATATATATATATATATATATATATATGTATAAGTGCGTAGGTATGCAGAAAATAGAAAAGAACATGTTGGGTGCATGATCCGGGGTTCCTTAGTATTTTTTGGTTTTATTTTTAAGAAGACAGTGCTCCATACAGAAGTAGAGCTTACATTATAATAATATTTTTTGTTTAAAAATATGATTCCTTCGCTACATAAGAGTTCTCATGTTTCAAAAATGAGAGCCGAAATATCCAAATAATTATTAAAATTAAGTTGGATTGTGGTGTTTAGTCCCGTTTCATCTTCAAGCGAAATTTTAGGAATAAGCTATCTCTCGAATTACATGTGTTTTTAGGCATGGTCCGTTATAGAATTCGTTATGGTGGGAGTGGCTAGACTATTTTCTTTCGTTAAGTGGTCAGAGAGTTAATTCTTATCAATAGATTCATCATCTTCTAAGAGGTTTTGGTAAGGTTGAGTAGGGTATCTATTTCAAGGCTAATGTTTGCGGGAATTATTTGGATATTTCGGCTCTCTTTTTTGAAACATGAGAACTCTTATGTAGCGAAGGAATCATATTTTTAATCAAAAAATATTATTATAATATAAGCTCTACTTCTGTATGGAGCACTGTCTTCTTAAAAATAAAAACAAAAAATACTAAGGAACCCCGGATCATGCACCCAACGTGTTCTTTTCTATTTTCTGCATACCTACGCACTTATACATACTAGCTCCCAAATCAAGGTCAAGCACTCTGAACCTTTATTTTTAAAATAAGAACTTTAAAAATATGGAAAAAATAAATTTCAACATTTCTCTGACGAACATTCCGCACACAAACAAACGGAATTATTTCATCAAACTTTTACAAAAGACAGAGGAATTAATAAGAAGAATGAGATGAAAAGTATTCTTCTTCCTACGAGGGAATAACCTAACGAAAAAAGAGCACAAGGTTTACGGATTTAAAAGCAAGAAAGTAGCACCATACAACAAAAACCTACAGGAATTCGAAAAGGACCTACTAAAAATATAATCAACAATATTTCCTTCAAAAAAGAAAAACAACTTCCAGAAGTTGTCTGGACCAAATAGTCAAAACCATAAACGACAGTGATAAAATACTAGTTAAATCCGATAAGACGGGAAACTTTTACAAATTGATGGCCGACGACTACAACAAATTAATTAGAAAAAACTTAACGAAGACATATAAAAAAGCCCAGAATAACAATATAAATATGGTTGACAGTATCAATAGAACTAGTAAAATGATTACTGAAAAATTAAAAATAAGTGATAGAGTTGGCAAACTGGCTGAAAAGGAGTGCTACATCACTCTTAAGGACCACAAACACGGATTTGAGGAAGACCCCACTACCAGAATGATAAACCCTACTAGACCCGACATAGGAAAGATAAGCAAAAAAATCCTGGAAAGGATCACTAACCAAATTAAAAAACAACTTGGATTAACACTATGGATTAACACCAAAGAAGTCATAAACTGGTTTACCAACATCGACAATAAGCCCGACTGCACCCTAATTCAGTTCGATATTGTCGATTACTACCAGTCAATATCAAAAGACCTCTTTACAACTGCCCTAGAGTTTGCTACAGTATATTCAGACTTAACTAAGGAAGAAACAAACATAATTCTCAGTGCAAAGAAATCTGTCCTCATCCATAATGGGGACCAGTGGATTAAAAACACCAATGACAACTTTGACATCACCATGGGATCTCTAGATTCTGCAGAATCTTCGGACCTTGTCAGTCTATTTATACTGTACAATGTAACTGCCCACCGTGAACTAGACGTTGGGGACATTGGGCTATTCAGAGATGACGGGCTTATGGTAGTGAGGAGCTCCACAAACTTTAAAACAGAGAAAATTAGAAAGATAATTTACAATGAATTCAGGAAACTAAATTTAAAAACAATAGTCAACACTAAATTAAAAAGAGTAAACTTCCTAGACGTAACTCTAGACTTAACGAACAACGTTCACCTACCTTACAGAAAACCTAATACTAATCCCCTGTATGTACATTCTAAGTCAAACCACCCTCCATCTATAATTAAGCATATACCCGCATCAGTAGAGAAAAGAATAAGTATGAACTCAGCAAATAAGGAAATATTCCAACAACACAGTAGTTTTTACAACACAGCCCTGAAAAATAGTGGATACAAAAACGCTGACATAACCTATAGAAGCGATAGTACCAATAATAAGAAAAACAGGAAAAGAAAGATCATCTGGTATACACCCCCGTACAACCAAATGGTCAGCACCAAACTAGGCCATAAGTTCCTAGCTTTAATTGAAAAGCACTTTCCCACTAATAGCAAACTTAGCGACATCTTTAACAAAAACACCTTTGAAATTGAGTTACAGCTGCACTGAAAATATAGAAAGAATCATAAAAAGACATAATAAGAAAATCCTAGAAAAACACACAAACCAAAACAGTAATAAAACACATAAACTAAAATTGATAACAATAACGAAAAAATTATGTGATTGTAGAAACCCTAAAAACTGCCCGTTGGAAAATAAATGCCTCACAAAATCTGTGGTATACCAGTGCACTATCTCATCCATTGAGAGTCCTAACACTGATAGGATATACATAGGCTCAACAAAGAATAATTTTAAAATTAGATGGAGGCAACACAAGAGCTCCTTCAACAATATTCAAAATAGAAATCAAACATCTCTATCCGAATATTTCTGGCATCTAAAAGAAACGAATAAAACACCAAAAGTAAAATGGAAAATAATCAATAAAACAAGAACCTGTAAAACCTGGGATGACCCATGTCCTTTATGCTTACAGGAAAAACTACACATCATTAAATTTCTAAACAATGAAAAATTATTAAACCATAGGCAGGAGTTAATGTTTTTTTGCAGACATCAACAAACTTTCGCATTAAATAATTAGCATATAAAAAAAAAATATCCCATAGCTAAGTAAAATTCTTAAAAGCAAAGCCAAATCATTAAATAGGAAAAACCCTTTTTGTAGTTGTCAAAAAACAAAAAAACAAATTGAAATTCAGTGCAATGTGATTTGTATATAAAACACCCACTTGAATAAACAAATAAATAAATAGATAATCAGATGGACAATAATAAAAGACAATTCCTCAGACACATAATGATTGTAGGTGCGCCATAAAAATATCCCTCACTGGGAACTAACTAAAGGGTGACTGCAAACATTAGCCTTGAAATAGATACCATATCCAACCTTAGCAAAACCTCTCAGAAGATGATGAATCTATTGATAAGAATTAACTCTCTGACCACTTAATGAAAGAAAATAGTCTAGCCACTCCCACAATAACGAATTCTATAACGGACCATGCCAAAAAAACACACACAAATAAATCGAGATAGCTTATTCCTAAAATTTCGCTTGAAGATGAAACGGGACTAAACACCACAATCCAACTTAATTTTAATAATTATTTGGATATTTCGGCTCTCGTTTTTGAAACATGAGAACTCTTATGTAGCGAAGGAATCATATTTTTAAACAAAAAATATTATTATAATATATATATATATATATTTAAGACCACTGGTATGTTTATTTGTGGCAGAATTCTAAAATTTTTTTTTTTCTTCTTTTTTTTTGTTTTCCAAAAGAAATTAAGGGAATCATTAACTTCAGTTGGTAAAAATGTAATGAGGAAAAATTAAAAATGAATTAACAGAAGATTTTTTTTCTTAAATAAAATATAAAATCTTTTCAAAGTAATTTCAGCAAATTTAAACAAAGAATTGAGAGAAGGAATTGAGACTAAGAATTTAGACAAAGAATTCAATTGCAGAACACTTACAGGAATCAGGGTCTTCTTCAGATATTCCGGTATTGCAACATGCATAGAACAATACTGTCCACGAATCAGAGGGTTTGTTTCTGTAATATTCCCTGGTTCAAATGGCATATTAATTCTGGTACACTGATAAAAATCTCCAGTCCAATGTGTTGCACCTTTGAGTATTCCAGATAATGGCTTGCCACTTGCATCCAGCACTACCAAAAAACAGAATATTTGTCAAAAAAAGAACCAGGTTAATGACATGATTAAATGCAAAAATCAAGGTATATTTGAGAGAACAGATAATATATTAAAAATCATAATATTATTTTTTAATATATGGTTACAATCTCAAATAATGTTGATATAATGGGAAGAAAGATTTATTCTCCCATTTACATTTCTCATGTTACGGGCATTATTAGATCCATGATATAATAACAGATGGAACAGAATGGCTGAAAGGAAAAATAATGAGTTTGTTCTCAGACTTTAAAACTATATATACATATATACAAGTGTCCCACATGGAGAGTAATATATCTACACAATAAAACAGAGAGTAAGGAGAAACAAAATGTAAGAGTCTTACATATAATACGGAGATACTCCTGTGTCTGGAGAAGCCATGTTTAAATTCAAATGATCCAGGTTCACCTATGTCCCAGGTGAGGACATATTCCATGAACAGGAAATTGCAAGTCTTGTGTTTTCCCAAATTGAGGACTGAGTGCTGGAGTTTCATTCTATATCTGGGAAAATTATATTACCAAAGGGAAATAGCACCATGTGCTTGTAAGCTGCTGGGGGAGGCAGATTTAACCTCAACCTGGGCCTCTTGGCCCAGACTAAAAGAAAGCAACCTCTCAGTTTGGATGCTGAAAACCATACAGAATTTGACTGCCGCTGTATTGGGTGACGTCACCAAGTGGCTGTCATGTGACTCACATAACTTATCTCCACCATAGGGAGATAAGAGCCTTCTGTATCCCTACATTGATATTAGATAATAGACAAACATATTATAATGAGACTCAAATGCAAGATTTGAATAATATGGAGACAGTTGAAACAAGGATCAAATGTGTGGATTACCCAGTCTCTTTATATCACTCTCTCTCTCTCTCTCTCTCATATTCAGTTTCTTCATTTCTGTCTATTTATCTAAGTCAGTTCATATCTATCTATCTATCTATCTATCTAAGTCTGTTTATATCTATCTTAACCAGTTTTGTCATTTCTAAGTCTGGTCAATTCTATCTATCTATCTATCTATCTATCTATCTATCAATCTATCTATCTATCTATCTATCTATTTATTCCAGTCTGTTCATATTTATCTGTGAATCTAGCTATGAACAGATTAAGATAGATATTTTGTTGGACACAAAAAAAAAAAAAAAAAAAAAAAGATTGCCAAACTGCTATGCCATATCTATCTTGCTTTATGGCAGTGAATGCTGGACAATTTCCCAACAGATGAAGAAGAGACTTGAAGCGACAAAGATGTGGTTATAAAATCAGATGATGAGAGTACCATGGACAGAAAATGTGATCAACGAGGAAGTTTTGAAGAAAATGAGAACTAGAAAGACACTTAAAATCAGAGAGACAAATTTTCTGGGGAATATAATTAGGTAGAGGGGCTTGGAGAATGTTCTAAAAACATCAATAACATGGATTATGGTTATGATGATGATGATTGTAAGCACTTCCGGTTTCACTAGGGAATGCTGGAATCAAAATGGATCCAGTGGTCAGTTTGAACAAATATGTTGTTAATTTTACAATGTGTTGTGTCATCTTTGTGTTGCTTCAGCTTTTCAGTGGCCAGCCTCATATAATATATCTTTCCACCTTAAGCCCAGTAGAACAGAGAATTTAACACTTACAGGACCTATAGCCAGCAGAGGAGGCTGTAAGCATTCTGAAATCAAAGGAAATGTTAGTCGCAGATTAAATCCACACTGCAAAGAACAAATCACTGTAAGTTCAGACTCGAATATTGGGGGCAGAATGAAATGCTGAAAACTTGAGTCACAGGTACTATCTCGCAAATCACCATGCATGTGACCAGTCAGAAAAATAACTCATTCTCCGACGAATGCAATAGCCAAAAAAACTACCCCCTGATTCGAGAACAACTGCTTTTATCGGCCGAGCATTTTTTCCATTTGTCGACAGCTGGGAGAGGACGCCAAGTAATTTACATATCAAAGTTCTTTTATAGAGACTCCTGCGACGTACCTGTTTTTTTTTTCACCTAAATATTCCGTCTTCAGCATATTATGTGGAATACGTGTCCCTCCTTTTGGTAAGTAATTCCAAGAATACAACCGAGAGAAAAAAATAAATTTTGGGAATCATTGCTCTATAATATACAGTTATGTAATAAATAAAGCAATTGTGGATTACCCAACTTGGCTTCACCAAATGCCCATTAGGTGGTGCTGTTTATGTACTATAAAAAGACAAACATTTCTTTTCCCTTTCTTCTTCTTGCTCCAAGATATAACAGACATAGAAGAAAGTATCCTTGTTGGGGGCGTTCATTTCCCTAAGTGACTGATAGATTTTTATACCGACAGATTGTGGGAGGGGGAAACTTGGACAGCTAGGCAACTCAGAAGCATTGTACCTGAAATTTGATGTGAAAGGAGAAAAAAGATAGAACTCTTAGGTGCTGTAGCAGCACTTTACAGTGTTCTTAGGTAATAATAGTTCAAGATTGCAATGTTTTGCCTCGTTGCTTACAAGCAATGTCTGTCCTTGTAATAGTAACACTAAGTAACAGTATCAGTAAATACCCACTCATAACAGAGCTTAAAAGACCATCTGGAAGGTGAAAGGAATTTCCTTTATAGCTTTCCAGACGGTCTCATTGAAATGGATAGTAGTCTCGTGCATCCAATCAGATTGGATCTACTACAACAGCAAACATAAAAATGACCACCACACAACCATTTGAATTCTATCGCTTCACACTATCCACATAGAGTTTCTTGGTGAGTAAAAGTTACAACAACACACTTATTAATTGTTGTTTGTTGAAATCCCATGTTCTGAACTTATTTCTGGGTAGTGAACTGGGATTGGTAAATAGGATTGTACCTATTAAAACAAACAGGACATAAACTCACATGTACAGTGTAACCCGGATATAAGAGAGTTGTCTGGACCGGATAAGAAGTCTCTTATATCCGGGTTTCTCTTATATCCGGGTTTGGTCTATTTTATATACATTAACATAGGCTCTAATTTGGGACCAGAGAAAATCTCTCTTATATCTGGGTTTGGTCTATTTTATATACGTTAACACAGGCTCTAATTTGGGACCAGAGAAAATCTCTCTTATATCCGGGTTTGGTCTATTTTATATACGTTAACACAGGCTCTAATTTGGGACCAGAGAAAATCTCTCTTATATCCGGGTTTCTCTTATATCCGGGTTTCTTATATCCGGGTTACACTGTATATGGTAAATATTGTTTGTAGGACAAATGTGCCAGTAATCATGAATGTTTACAGAAAAAAAAAAATCAAAACCACCAAGTGAAAGTGGTGATTCCAGCAGAATAGTATAAAAGAACCCTCATTGAAAACAGTCAAATATGGACAAGCCATGTGATGCAGATCCATTGGTTAAGGTGGAAAACAGTGCAGTGAAGAGGAAAGCAGCCAATAATGGTTATTGAGATGAATGTATTAAACAAAAAAAGAAGGAATACTCACTTTTCATTGGCCAGTCATTTGGACCATTTGTTAACTTTCCTATAAAAGCAAAAATATCTATGCGGCATTGTTGTGTGATATTCATTATTCTCTGTATGAGAATAGGTAGAATTTTTTCAACAATTCCCTAAAAAAATAGAGATAGAAATTTTCGTAATATTAATAAAAATGTTTTCAATGTTACTTTTTCACATGTAATTTGGTTAACGACATTTAAATAACTTCAGGTTAATAAAATGAATTCCTTCATTATATCCTAAAAAAATAAGACTGGGTTTACTTGAGTGATTAAAATATATTGTAATTACACAAATGCAGTGGATTTCTAAATGGAATTGTACCTATTAAAAAGAACAGGACATAAAACCCAGTGGAGAGAGGAGGAAAAATTTTGTAGAAGTTCAAGAACAATAGAGGCTTTAAACCTTTTGGTTCTGGGTAGTGAACTGGGATTGGTAAATAGGATTGTACCTATTAAAACAAACATGACATAAACCCAGTTAGGCAGAGGAGGAAAGAATTTGCAGAAGTTCAAGAAGAATAAAGGCTTTAAACCTCTTATTTCTAGTGAACTGGGATTGGTAAATGGTGTACCTATTGGACATAAATTGGAAAAAATTGTTGAAGTTCAAGAACAATAAAGGCCTATTTGGTTCTGGGTAGTGAACTGGGATTGGTAAATAGGATTGGACACAAACTAAACCCAGTTGGGCAGAAGAGGAAAGAATTTGCAGAATTTTAAGAAGAATAAAGGCTTTAAACCTTTTGGTTCTGGCTGGTGTACTTGGATTGGTAAATAGTATTGTACCTATTAAAAAGAACAGGACACAAACTCCAGTGGGGAGAAGAGGAAAGTTTTAGAAGTTCAAGAACAATAAACTCCTTAAAACTTTTCGTTCTGGGTAGTGTACTGGGATTGGTAAATGGGATTGTACCTATTAAAAAGAACATGACGTAAACCCTAATGAGTAGAGGAGGAAAGAATTTGTAGAAGTTCAAGAACAATAAAGGCTTTATACCTTTTGGTTCTGGCTGGTGTAGTGGGATTGGTAAATAGGATTGTACCTATTAAAAAGAACAGGACTTAAACCCTAATGAGGAGAGGAGGAAAGAATTTGTAGAAGTTCAAGAACAATAAAGGCTTTATACCTTTTGGTTCTGGCTGGTGTAGTGGGATTGGTAAATAGGATTGTACCTATTAAAAAGAACAGGACATAAACCCAAAATAGGCAGAGGAGGAAAGAAGTTGTCAAAGTTCAAGAACAATAAAGGCTTTAAACTTTTTGGTTGTGGGTTGTGTACTAGGATTGGTAAATAGTATTGTACCTACAAAAATATGTTAAATAAATGTGAAATAATGTGTATAGTGAAGTAAGTGATCAGGGAAATAAACGACTACTCATCACATACTGTAGAAAACAGAATACAACAATATGGCCTTGTGGCCAATAAGTTCTTTAAGTTTCTTGGAGAAACCAGAATTTGTCATGACTTAGATCCAGTCTTTTCAGTGCAGACTAGGACTAAAGTTTGAAAGACAATCAAGCAAGAAAGAGAGAAAATGAAATAACTGACCTCTTATCAACTTCGGCAGATTGTGAAACTATAATGAAATTTTCTGTTATGGCATGCTGCAATATATTGGAGAATTTGACTTTAGTTTAAATTTCAGAAATTATAAAAAGACGTTTAAAACCTAAAAAGAACCTTGTCCTAGTGAAAAGAACCAAATTTTTGTCCATTAAACAGAAACATGATGAATCAATTATGCAATATCTTCACCAATTAAGATAGGCTAACAAATTCTGTGAATTTGAGATGCTTGGAACTCAAGATTTGATTATTGAGGATGCATTGATTCAGTTACACTTGATTGAAGGTGTGGCTGATACATTTCATAAATATAAGATATTGGAACAATTACAATTAAATAATTTGTCTCTAACTACATATGTGGCATTTATACAACAGCCAGAATTGATTAAAAAATATAATTCTACTAAGGACAATGTTATATTCCACTCCAATTAGGTCTCTTTCTGATTCATTCTGCATGTCAGTCGGATGTGAATGCTAAGAAGGCAGAACACAAAATAAAAAAAAATCGCTTTCTGTGCGTAGGCTCTGAGCATTACATCCCATCCATAAAGCAAGCTCTTAAAATGAAACTGATACAGTGGCCAATCACAAACATTCCCGCTGGAAAAGGAGATGACCCAGGTAACTGGCAGATCTGTTTAAAAGCAAGCCCCTACGCAGCTGCCAGCCAAAAGGCCACCTGCTGACATGCAGAGCACTGTTGCTGTCACTGCCATGACTGCTTCTCTCAACACAACTGTTACAGATTTCACTAATCTCACCTGACTCTTCACATAGAGATTACCTTTGATGACACCAGTCCCCCGAAGCCAACCACAATGATTTATAATACCTTGTCATCACTGTAACCTTGCTCAAATTTTGTTAATGTTACCTGATAGATTCCAACAAAGACCAGCTTCAACACCCCCAGGTCCCTGTATCTAACCAGTGTGATTTATAACACCTTGATGTCATCACCACACAATTCTGGGCCTTCCTCATTGCCACTGCCATCACCTCAGCAACCTGACTTGCTACAGGCATACCCTTGAGTGAAACATTCCAC